TGCCAACAAACCCTGTTACTGTAGGGTTGGGGTACTCTCTCTTACCTTGAGGAGCCCAACAATGACACTCAGTATGAAAACAGTGCCTAGCTTCAGTGAGAAAACATGACTTTGAGGTACTTGGGGTTCCCCCAGAAACATCCACTATTCTTACTGCTTTAATCTTTGCTAGAGGTCCTCTCCTCCTGTGTGCCCCCCATAATTGAGATGCACCCTCAGCTGACTGCGCAGTACAGCACAGCACACCCTTAGTTAATTTATGCAGCTATGATTTAATGCTTCCTCTGCCTGTTTGCATGTGCGTGAATAACATGTTGGATGCTGTTTGCATGCTTATGTTTTGATAACAGATTACATTGGCAACAGATTTGTGTATATTTTCTAGTGGCAAATAATAAAACAGCCTATTGTCTACATATGTTTATGCACTCAGGACATGCCTACATTTTTCTTAATTGTTTTATCATATTTGTAGGTCATGCAGTTTGTAACTTTTTTCAAATTGTTCCAATTTCCAAAGTACTTATTGAAAAAAAAAAGTGTTATAAGTGCACCATGCAGTTCAGACCCATTTGTTCAAGGGCCAACTGTATACAGAGGGAAGCACAGGAGGAGCAGATGTTCTACTGGTTTTCTGAGTATTTACCTGGAAACCAACATATTTCTAAGCTCCTAGATGAAGGGATGGGGATTCTTCAGGCGCCATGGGGCAGAAGTTGGCACAACCCTCCCTCCAGCATCTCCTGGAGCCCCTTCACACTCTGGGCCCACTACTCCAGCGACCCTCTCCACTGGACACCTTGATTGGAAGGACTTTCCTTAGTCTGGAGTTTCCTTTGTCGTAAACCCAATCTGTTTCCTGTGAGTCCCACCCATCAGTGCTCATGGTGGCCTCAGAGACTTGGTCTACCGTACAGCCTCCAGATAGTTGAAAATGAAGCTGGTGGTGTCGCGGGTGCCCCCACTTCCCAGGTTAGAACCCCCTGGTCCTTCACGCCCCTCCTAGAACACAGGACTTTAGACTGTGCCCCTCCAGGCCTCTGAAGTTGGCCAGCTGCCTTTTTTAGGAGTGGCCTGCATTGGAACATTCACTGCCTGGGGCCTGACTGCTGAGTCTCTGGCTTTTTTATCTCCCTCCATCTGGACACCCACCTCTCTGATGGAAGCCAAGACAGTTGCACCTCATAGTCTGGGCTTATATTAAGCTTGTGTAAAGCTGCATTTCAATGTCTTCATGTCGCCCGACCTCCTCCCCTCAAACCCTTTCCTAAAGTCTCCCAAATGAAATTGTATCTCCAACCTGCATTTATGTCTTGGGTTCTTTCAACTAAAAGCTGTTCCAAATAAAATAAAAACAAAACAACAAAAGATGTTTCAGAACTTTCTTATTAAATTCCCTCCTATGATACTAATCTTGGGTGGCACCTCTGTGTGAAACAGACGATGAGACTTGAGAAGAAGATAGGCTTGAATTCAAATCTGTTTCCAGTCTATCAACGTATGATCTTTGGACAAATACTTAACATCTCTGAATCTCAAGTTCTCCAGCTTTCAAGTTCTGGAATAAAACACCCAGAACTCACTTGTCTCTTACCGTCACTATGGAATGGAAAACTAAAGCTCAAGTACTCAGCCTCCATGCTTGCTAAAAGCACTCAGAGGGCAGATTTCTGATCAATGAAGAGAAGTGGAAGTTCCAATCTGCTGAGAGTGTTCAGGTTTTAGATAGAAGGGATCACTGTCTAGGGCATTTGCCCTTCACTTCCTGCTGTGACTGTAGAGATGGTTGGAGCTGCAGCAGCTACTTTGTGACATGGGGGCAAGCCAAGAGAATCACAGAGATGCCATCTTTGACAGTGCCTCGCTGCTAAACTAAAGCCTTTGGTTGCCTCACACTTCTCATATGAAGGAAAAACCTCTATAATATAACCAAACCAAATTTAACTAACGAGACCAACTTGAACTTTGTTAAGGATCCTGGACTGTGCTAAACATACTAGATTGGTTATTTGATTTCATTGACTTACTATTTATTCCTTTGGGTATCATATTCCATCTTCCAGATTCTGGAAATTTCTTTGAATTATGATTCTTTCACTCAAATTACTGGATAGATGCATCTGAGTAGGTGTGAGTCTTTATCTCTAAATCACACACAGTATTGTAAACCAAGGTTATCACAATACAGAAATATGGAGCATAAAAAAATTATGGTACTCCAGAGTTTTGTTAAAGTATTTTATAGTAATTTATCACTTAAAACATGACCAAGCGCCCTCCCTGGTGGCGAATGGGTTAAAGCACAGCACTGAGAAGCTAAAGCCACTTCCGCATGAGTTTGATCCCCAGCCCCAGAGGTGACCCACAAGGCGTGGCAGACCTCTCCTGACCCGCCCAGTGTGCCCCTCAGCAGTGTGCTTCCTCAGTCGGCCTGTTCTGCTCCCACTCTGTCTCTGTGAGTCCTCTCACCGCCCCTGTACCTCTGGCCTGTACTCCAGTTCTGTATGCATAAATACATAAATCTTTGAAAACACTGGCCAACTTAGGGTTAAGCAGGGCCATCTGGTCCACTAGCTTAGACAGCTTCCCTGGATGGGGTTGTTGATCCAGCTCTGAATATGCCTAGTTGTGGTGCAGTAAATCCACGTAGGCTTCTTCATCTTATGCTCAAGAAATTCATGAAATGCCTTGGTCTAATTTGAAACAAAAATTACTCTACTCCAGGAGTATCCTGACGCACTAGCTATGTTAAGGGGAAGGCTGTCCTGAAGGAACCCTGCAGTTTTGTGGACTCCACCCCCTACTCCAGCTTTCTGGACTCCACCTCCTACTCCAGTGACTGGAAACTACAACTCCCAGCAGTACTAGGGAGAGAACTGTGAGGACACAAGTGCAGAGCTCAGCAGGAATTCTGGGACACTGGGGGATAAATAGGGCGCCATTTTGCCCACCCCTCTTTCTCGGTTGGGAAACAGCTTGTGGGACTGCGTGACTCTGGGCTTTCAGTTAGTTACCAGAGCTCCAAGTCAGCCCAGCAGGTAAGATATTCCAGTTACTTTGTCTCTCTCTCTTTCCTTGGGTTGTTCGTTTTCCTTTCCCTTTTTGTAAATAAACCCATTATTGACCCTTTTGTGTGTGTCTACAGTACAACTGAATTTTAAGCGCGCGGGTGAGGCCCTTTAACAGCTAGACCGCCTGCCCAAGAGATCAACAGTGAGGAGTACGTGGTGGGATGAGTTCTGTCTTGGCTTCATCTTACACCAGCCTAGGCCAGGCCAGCCCATCCCATCCCTCCATTCCAGTGGACATGGGCTGTTGAGAACCGGGACCCCTGAAAGGTGGGGGGGGGAGAATACAGGAGTCTGTGGATTTTACTGTCCAAATCTTTGTAGTCAAATTGGCTTCCTCTGGGATGCTTTTCCCAGTTGAATCAAGAGGCCAGCATAGCGAGCTGCTTCTCCTGTTCTCCTCAAGGAGTCTTTCTGGAGCCACAGCTGTTGCTGCTTGGCAGGGCCTGTTGCCTTTTTGAAAACCCCAAACTTCCTACCAGTCTTTGCTCTAAAAGCCCTTTGGGTCCTGAGAGCTGGGGATCTCTCTGTTCAATGCAGAGCTTCCCTGGGGAGGGGCCTGTCTGCCAAGTAGGGGCAACTGGTTTGAAGCCAGAGAGACCAGCTGGCTTCTTTGGGTCCCTTTGGCCAGCACACCGACACCGCAGTGCTCCTTGCCCATGGTTCAGGATCGTTCTGCAGCTCAAGTCTTCTTTCTCAGGTTTCATGAGCCACTATGGCGTCCTTAATAAATTGTTTGCTTTTGCTGATGCTGGTTCATTGTCTGTTATTTACAATGAGCTGAAAGGCAGGGTATAACCTGTGGTTCCCAGGTGACTTAGCAGCATCTGCTGGACTCTGAGGGCACTGCTTGTCAGCCAAAAAGCAAGGAGCCTGCTTTTCCTAGAGGGAGCTGGCAGGCCCATGGAGGGGAGGGGAGGTAATGGCGTTCAGATCCTGACAGTGAGCTGCTAGTCTCACTTCAGCTTCTCCAACTCTTGACTGGTATCTGTTGGTCTCCACTACTAAGAGTCCTGGGCTCAGCTGGACAAGAGCAGACACTGATTTCTTCATCTTCCCTCTGTGTGTCTGCAAGTTGCAGCCTGTTTTTGCTGTCCCCGACTTTACATCCATCTGCCCTTCCTTGTGGCCAGCAAGTGCCAGTATCAGATGCAGAGACAGTACAGTCTTCTAGATACTACTAACCAGCTCAGGGGCTGTGTAAGTTCAAATTCATGTGCATTTGATATTTAATACTCTGTTTTTTATTAAACCCTGGTGGGCATGCAGCAACCAACAATAGTAACTGGCAGCACATTAACTGAGCACGTGCTGTGCACCAGGGACCAGGCTCTAGGTGCTGGAGGAATAGCAGCTAATGAAGCGAAGCCCTGTCATCACGGAGCTCAGGTTTCTGTTGCAGCCAAATGTTGCAGGGAGAGTCCTGGGTTCGAGTCCTGGCTTTTCTCTTCTTCTTTTTTTGAGATTTACTCTATTTATTTATGCATATAAGGGCTGGGGTAGAGGCTAGAAGTGAAGGGGTGGAAGTGATAGGATTCACCAGAGACAGAGTGGGAAGAAGAAAAGGCAGATTGCCTGAGCCATATGGGTCAGCGTCTGGGTAGGGATCGAGCTACTGCTTCAGTGGCTGCTGATAGCTTCAGAGTGCTAAGACTTCACCCCCCCCACCAGCAGCACCCAGGCCCTGGCACCAACTTTATTAACAGTTGTGTGAACAAAATTGTGGAAATAATTTACTAGTGAATTCTTCATTAGTAAAGTAAGGAGACTGATTTTTCAACCCACTTCTCATATAAAAGCAGCTAGAGTGAACATCAGTTCAAAGATATTTGAAAATAGCTGAAAAATTAATTAAAGAAGCAAAAAACAAAAAACAAAACAAACCAAAACCCCCCCCAAAAAACTCAGGAGCAAAAACTAAAAAGCCAAAACTAATATTGTCATAGTCTTTTATTATGTATCAAATTGTCTTCAACATAAGTTACAATCTGATTAAATTTGATAGATATTTTTTTTAACCTATTTAAAGACAAAAAAATTCTCTTTATATACAGTATCTTGTGTCTAGAGCCTAGCAAATATAGTACCTTTCATTGCAGGACTTTTGCTTAATATAATAAGGAAAAACAACCAACCAAAAAAAAAAAATATATAAACCAAAGCAAACCAACTCCCAAAATCCCTCAACTACAATTATCCATATGAAAAAAGCATTACAAAGACAAACATAAAATAACATTTTTTTTTCTTGGTTTAGAAATGCAGAGTGAATACTAAAATTAGTGGCAAAAAAAAAAAAAAAATCCCCAAAACAACCCACCCCCAAAACAAAAATAAAATAAAATTCCCACCCCCCAAGAAAATAGCTAACAGTCTTCAGGGGTGCGGTCTCCTGCTCAGGGTTACCAGCTGACTCTAGACCATCTCCCGGTTCCTGCGGATGGCACAGCACAGGATCATGCTGAAGATCATGCCAAATATCTGCAAGACAGAAGGACGGTGAGGAGCTCGGTGGTGGTGCCGGGGGAGGCCCAGGGGGCAGAGAGGGGTCTCTCGGGCCAAGACACATGCTAGGAGAATGGTGTCAGCGGCCACCGGACTCAAAGACCCTGACACAGGCGATGTGGTCAGACAACGGGAAGCTTCTCGGACTCATGGAGGCTGAGAGCCAGCGGGTACTTGCTAACCACGCTGCAGAGGCTACTTCCCTAGAGAACCCTGGGGTGAAACAAACAGGCTAAAAATGTGATTGAACGTTCAAGTTCCAGATACTCCAATAGGTCACAGAGGCTAGCACTTCTGCTTTTGCGTTTGTGTACGTGTGCACTTTATATTTTATTTGGAAAGGAATTGTTAGGCCTCTGAACACTGCTTCAAGAACATTTCTTAGACACAGGTGAGGAGTGCAAAGACCACTTGGAAAAGAAGCAATTCTCTTCTGGGACAGTTATGCCAGACCCCTCCAGGCTTCTCATCACGCCCTCACGGGGAAAGACATGATGACCCAGGGAAGGTGTTGGTCTGTGATGATTTTTCAGGGCTGATGATTTGAAACCTCCCTGCTTCCTTCTGGCTGTCCACCTTTGGGTGCCTTTCACACTGCCCAGGGGTGTGGAACAGTTCACATCCAGGTAGCTTTCACTGAATTACTTTCTTGGGGACAAGAAAATCTGTGCCTGCGGAACACATGTTCTGAAGATGATCCCAGGATACATTTCAGGTCTGGGTGCTTCACAGCCTCACTACTGCTTATATTTTTGCCTGCAACTTAGTGGCTAAGAGAACACATTGGAGCCCCACTGAGTTCAAATTCAGGAGCTCAGAATTAAGCTCAGACCCACTTAATCTCCATCTCTCTGTTCCCGAGTCTGTAAAGTCGGGGTTCCGAATAGGTCCCGTCTCGGGGGCGCTAAGGAGGGAAGGAGTGGTGGGCATGCAGCACTTAGGCAGGGCCTGGCCAGAGCAGGCCCACTCCCTTCCACGTCCCGACACTCACCATCACCACCGCAATCCCGATGCCCACTGCGCCGATGATGTGGAATTTGTTGTCGAAGATCTCTTTGATGGCCTCAGGGCAGGACTTGGGGGCAAACCAAGACCCAGGTCAGACTAAGCCCCACTCCAGCTACCCCACATTCCCCCCACATCCCCCATTTCACACCGGCATCACTGGTGGTGTCAGAGGAAGGGCCAGGAAAGGCCAGGTGTCTTGGCTGGTGGATGGAAAGGAGACCCGTGGCCAAAGAGGGGTGGGTGGTGGGTCACTAAAATTTGGGCAAGAAATCAGGGCGGAACAGGGCTCAGCTCCTGCTTTGGGGTCTCTTTCTTATTTGGCTGTAGGGTTACTTGTTGTTATTCTGGCGTTTGGACATGAGCTCTAGTTTGCAATCATGAGCTGTTTCCAAGTCTGGAGAGCAGGCGTGCAGGTGCCAGGGCAAATCTATCCCTGAGAGGCCTTGGGTGGGAGGGAGGCAGTGGATGTGGCAGCAGGCAGCTTAGCTGCTGAGTGACTACAGGCCGCAGGAAGAACGCAGGCTCTGACCTTTCTTTTGCTGCCCTTGGGGAAACAGAGGTCGCAGGGCAGGAAAGAGAGGTGGCGACCATATTCATGAAGCCCCTACACTGTCCTGCTAGAACAAGACCTCACCTCTGCCCTGACGGATGTGCCCAGAGCATCAGCCCTGCAACCTGTTCACAGGCTTACCTTTACCGAAAAGCTTTCCGCAATATTCTTTTCGGGGCAGATATCGGAGATAAATTGTTCCAGTGCTCCACTCATACCACAGCATTTCAACTGCAGAGAGGGCAGGGGTAGGGATGAGAGAAATGTCAACTGCAGCTGAATAGAGGCGCATGGAGGTGGCTGCAGGGGTCTGGGCAGGCACGACTCACCGCAGCGTGCAGTTTTTTCAGTGTTTCCCGCTGGGCCTCGTCCTTGTTTTTCAGCTTATTGTAGGTGTCCCTGTAAAAGTCCTGGATTTGCTTGATCACCTAGGATGGACAGACAAACAGCAGTGGAGAAGGCCTTTTCGTGAACCAATGTCACCTGTCCATCCGACTTAGGCCTGGCGAATGTCACTGGGAAGATGGAAGCCACCAGGTGAGGTTTCTGCTCCCAGGGCCTCGGGCCTCCCACCCACCCTCTGCCCTTACACAGTGTTGGGAGAGCAACTTTGCAGGAAGCACCAGCCGTCTGTCACAATAGAGCAGAGGAAACAGCACTACAGCACTGACCACAACTCCTCAGCGGACCAGTCCCTGCCTCCCACTATTCCCCTCAAACACGCTCTCTTGTTCAGAGTTAGGTCAGTGTCCCCTTTCCCAGGAAAGATTCCCACCCTGGACATCTGAAACCACAGAGGGCTTCTGGCTAGAAATCACTTCTGTGACACTTATCAGATGCATGTCTCTCTCCCACACTAGAGGGCAAATTTCCTTGTTGAGGGGGACACAGCTCTCGAAGACCCTGGAGAGGGTCTGGCACAGCACTAGGCTGATGGTGGGATATCCAGATAATGTGAAGGAGCAAGGGTGCCCAGCCACAGGAGACACACACACACACACACACACACACAGTGACTCTCCTGGGCTTCCATGTGCCAGCCCTGTTCAGTGAGCTGGACACAGTGGCTGGCATCAGGCAGCTTGGGGGAGCATAAACACTCCCATTCTCTGCCCCTGCCTGCTCATATCCTGACGGGCATGTGGCAGCGTGGTGACATGAGATGCAAGCCTGCTGCTTGAAAGCTGACCCAAGTGACCAGCCAGGACATCAGCCTCCAATGCTCAACCCCCAACTCCAGGCAGCACAGCAGGTGCCAAGGCGCTTTACGGGGGGAAAAACCTACCTCATCTTTGTGGGAGTATCCCCAGATGGCCGCAGCTATTTCAATGGCAAATATCACCAAGAGGAAGCCGAAGAACTGGAAGGCGAAGAGGGGGTGGAGTGAGAGACAATCCCAGTCTCAGCCAACAAAAAAAAAAATCAAAGTGTATTTTGAGGAACAAGGAAGAATGACAACTCTCTGGGGACTGGGCACCGGGTGGATTCGTTGTTTACAGAACTGTGAGAACTAAGCCCAGGCAGGGAGTGAATGGTGTGGAAGGAAGGACAGGATGGACCTCAGAGCTAGTAGCACGGAGGTATTAATGATGAAGAGTCAGTCAGTGATAAAATACCATTGCTCACTCACAAAACTCAGAGATCTGAGGATAAAAAGGAAGTGAACACGCTCTGGAGTCTGAGGAAACTGAAACAAGAAGAGACGGCAAAGGAAGGAAGCTGTGGTACCTTTTCAGGGGAAAAGAAGCCATTGTGGGCCTCCAAAAAAGGAGAAAACAAAGTTCTGGCATCTAGGGCCTGAGGAAAGTGATAAGAGAGATGGGACCCAGAAGGGAAGAGGAGCGAGGCATGGCCGCAGGGAAGGAGACAAGATGGCTGCCGGGCTAGGAGGCTGGAGCGCTGAGTCACCACCAGGAAGGCTGAGCATAGCTCGTGCCCTTGGGTACTCTCTTCACCCCATTCCACCCCATCTGTTGTATGGATGTGGACCCCAAGATCTTAGGGGCACAACCCCAGGAATCAGAGTGACCGTGGGGGAACACAGAGGGGTCACTCACCAATCCCAGCATGCACTGGGACTCTTGTATGGCTCCACAGCAGCCCAGGAAGCCCACCAGCATCATGAGGGCACCAGCGCCAATCAGAATGTAAACTCCTGCAGGGAGAGCAGAGAGGGCGAGGCCCGGAGATGTTAGAGTGGGAGCTCAGACACTCCCCGCGATTCCGTTTCCGGCTACGAGATGCTGTGGATGGGAAGAAGTGTCTGTCCTTATAAACAGCCTCCACCACATCTGCTCTGTAGTCTCCTTCCCATTAGTCTCTCTTCTAGGCCCTAGCTCTAGCAAGCCTAAACTCGTGTCTTAACCCTTAGTCTCGAAGACGTCCATCATCCCATCATCTAGGTGCATGTGGACCCTCCAAAGTCTACTCTGGACACAAACTGGTCCAGGCTGTCCAGCTGTTATCAGCAAGATGACTCCATGTACGCTTGTTAACGCACACCCTCCAAACCTGGGCTAATTTCCTGCAACTCTGATGCGCCTCCCACTGGACTCCACCTGTAGGAAGGGACGGCGTGGGCAGGCCTGGTAGTCGTGCACTCCCTCAGACATGCATGGTCTGGGGGCATCTCTGTTTGATTTTTGAGGGAAGTCTCCCCACTGCTGCCTGGTGGCAGTCAGGCACGGGGGTAGGAGTACCCAAGGACACACGCTGGCAAAGGTTCTGGAGTACAGAATGCAGGCCTGGGTCTCAGGTGAGCCTACCGGGTGATCTTGGGTAAGACCACCTCTCTCTGGGTCTCAATTTCCTTTTCAGTGAAATGAGGTTGGTTGCTTAGGACATTTGAGAAGACCCCTTAGAACATTCTAGAAATCTTGTAATTGCAATTTAGTTACTTCAGATTAGGGGTCCTGGGTGGAGGATCCTCCTGGTGAAAGGGAAGGTGGGTGATACGTTTCTAAGCTCTCATGATTAATGTGTAGGTGGCCTGTGACTTCAGCTCCTGCTGTGCCCGACTGGATGGGGTGGGCCTGCAGCACACTGGCCAAGGCATCCCACACTCCCCAAGGGGAACACCCAGAGGGGCCCATCCTGTGGCTATGTCCCTAAGAAGTCACAGCTCATGGACTCGGCTCCCCCAATGGGCCCCAGTGCCATGTTGAGCCCAGAACACGTGAGGACCCGTGGCCAGTCACTTCATCTCTCTGTGCAAATTTTCTGCCTGCAAAGTGGGGATGGCCACCATGCCGATGGCCCCCAGGACACAGTGGGTGGTGACAGTTCTTAAGAAGCAGTGACGAAGGACATATACTGGCTGCTCCTCCCTGCTGGCCTCCCTTCCAGGGACCAAGGAGACTGGAAGTAGGGGTTGAAAGTAAGCGGGCATCTGGGAGGTGACCCTATAATGCACAACACCCCAGCACACTGCAGTGAGAACCTCGGTGTCACAGTGACTTCACTGTCTCACATCTGTCCCCTCAGTGCAGGGCTGGGCCTGGGAGGCCACAAACTGGGCAGTCAGCCTGTGGATGAGGCTCACGGGCGGCCAGAGCAGAGTGCACACAAGGGAGCATTTGTCCGTCTCCCCTTTCCCCCCACATCTGTCGTGATGTCAAATCACGTGGGTTTGCTGGCAAACCCTGCAGCTGCATGAATATGGGCATTGTTCCTGCACACACCCAGCCTAGACTGGGCAAGGGGACAAATGTGGCTTGTCCTCCAGTCAGGTCCCATCCTTCTGGGCAGTGCAATACCATGGGACCACAGACTCAGGGCGGCAGTGCAGCCTGGGCGTGTGGGGCTGGGGGCGGCCTCCCTCAGGGCTGAACGAAGGCAGAAAATGGCCCTGATTTCTCTCCTTACATCTCTGCAAGACAGCAAAGGCTGAGATCCCAGCTGGGACTCTGGTCTGAGTCCCAGAACAGAGAGTGAATAAATAGAGCGTATTAAGAGATCAAAAGGATTTACAAACACATGAAATAGAGTCAGTGGGGAAGAACAGACGGACATGTTTTCTCAAAGTCCAGATCACAGATCATAAACCCTGTTAACTGTGGCAGATCAGGGAGGTGGGTCGGCGGCAAGGCAAGTGAGCTACGAAAGGTAAAAGCACTTCCCAGGCACTGAGGCAACGTTCTCCTTAATGGGCCTCTCGGTTAGTATTAAATATTCATTCCAGGACTCAGCAGACAAGATTTGAGCACAAAGGATCTTGCTGGCTTTCAATCTTGCTCGGACAGCTGCAGATCCGCCCGTCGGACTCACTCTTCAGCAGGGGAGGAAGAAGGGCATGTCCCCGGCAGCTGCTGAGGGGGTTAGGATTTAGCAGCAGGCCCGAAGCTATGGGAGGGTGGGGTGCTCACCTAGACGCAGCCCCCCTAGAAGCCACACAGGGCTTAGGCCACTGCCTGTAAGGGCCATCCAGGGCTCCCCACCGCAAAGGCCCCCCCCAGCCAACATTCAGGCCTGTTAGCCTGCTGATAGGTGACAAAGCATTCTCCTTTATAAAATAAGTGAATGTTAGCTTTCTGTCTGACTCATGGAAAAAGTTATTCGTCATGGAGCCTTCTCTAGGATGACTGTATTAATTTGCTTAAGGACTGTTTATTTTGCTTTTTTCAGACTGACATTATAGGCTGAGTCCAAAAAAAAAAAAAAAAAAAAAAAACACAAACCAGGATTTGGTGTAGCAGCAGACAGAATATGCCAGGGAGTCTTTACTCAAGAAATGGAGTGTTCCTGTTCAACCTATTTATCACAGGGGTGGACACATCAGCCTCCTGTCCCTGCCCCACCCCCAACTGGCAAACAGCACTGGCCACTCCTGTTTGTGTGGACAAAATCTGGTCCAACTTCTGGGCCCCCATTTGCTCAGGACAGTTTCTTATCTCCAACAACTTAATCTGGGGTTCAAAGGGCCCCTAACTTTGGTTGGGTTAGTGTTCTTGGTTGCTGTGTCCCGTGATGGCTGATCTTGTGAGTGAGTGACACAGTTGACTCTGTTTGCCAGACGCAGGGAGGTGCGGGTGTGAGCCCTGCCAGTTTCATGGGGAACAGCAGACACAGGAGGAAATAAGGAGCTCACTGAGGGAAAAGGCCGCACTTCCCGGAACTCACCAGGCGTCCTGCCAGGGAGTAGGTGGGGTGGACACCTGAAACTCCCAACTGGCGCCCCCAGGTGCCCCATCGTGTCTGTGGACATACTGACAGGCCGAATCTCCAGGGGCCTGAACTGAGAGACAGCCCGTATGAGGCCGTCAGCTGTTCTGGACTCTCTGCATGCTGGTCTCAATGTTGGGAAGTTTTTTCCCCACTTGAGTGCCTAGCTGGGAATGCTTTCTCTGCTTTGAAAGTGGGGGGCCCTTCCCTGGGTCTTCTAGGTCTTCTGGAGCTTCGGCTGCACGGTCAGGCTGTGTTGGAGGCTGCTCTAGAGAGGGTTAGAGCCCCGGTGCGGGGGACAGTCACTCCCTGATGTTGACACACGGGCTGGGGCATAGCTGAAGGGCCATGGGTCAAGGCAAAGGCTGGCTTCACAGCCAGGGGGTTGGGGAGCCCAAGGAAGAAGGCTCCTGGGAGGGTGATAATTATTCAGTCTCCCCAAGAGCTCAGTGGAGTGCTGGGTCCAGCCGGACCCAAGTGGTCATTTAACTGACTGAAGTTTTGGTGGTGTTTGCCTAAGCCCGGTTTCCTGGGTTTCTGCAAACAGAACAAAGTTTTCAAAGCTCAGCTTTTTTGTAGGAAGGGGATTCAGCCACAAAGGGTCCAGTTCCTCTGCTGGAGCTAGGGGGGCAGTGGCCACTGGCCCCCACCTAGGGATTGCTGTTACTTCCGAGTGTGTGTTCATGTCACCCTCCGGTCACCTCAGAGGGCCCTGCGATGACATGGGGGGGCCTGAGTCCCGCGGGGGGACTACTCCAAGTGCACTCACCCACCCCTCCCTGCCACCCTGCACGGCTCTCCCTTGCTCATCTTCCGGCTCGGGTCACCAGCGCTGGGGTTTCTCTGCCCAGACTACGATTTGGGTAAAGTCAAAAGGCCAGGAGAGTCTGCAAGCTGCCCTGCCCAGGAGGGACGTTCGTCAGTGGAGACTGACTGCCTTTTGAGAACAAGCTTGGCGAAGTGATTAAACCTCTCTAGGCCTCCATGTCTTCATCTAGGAGAAGGCAATCATTCCATGTACCTTGAAGAGTGACAAGGGTTAGATGGACATATAGTAATATGTGCAGACAGGGGGTTCAAAATATGTCCTCCCCCCAATTCCACCCACTTATCGCGAGATCTATCCCTTTCACATCTAACAATACACTGAATGAGCCCAAGTCCTAGATAACAAAAGATGGAAATGGGGCGTTTGAGATAGTCCCGGCCCGGCGGAGCCAGGCGCCCTTCAGGGAACCATGGCAGACAGCCCGGGGGAGGCCGGGCCCTCTTTTTGGACAACTGCCGAGACAGATGCCACCTGCTTCCAGATTTCTCTCCCGAGGAGGGGTCACGGCTCTCTGGTATGATGCGACGTGGAGGGCTCGAGTCTTCCCTTAGCATTCCAGGCCTGCAGACTCACACCCACAGATGCTGTTGCTACAACAATCCAGGGCACTATGGAAACCGGCTCCTTAAAACTCTGCGTGGGGCCCTTCCTGGTGGCGCAATGGCTTGGGACACAGCACTGGAAGCTGGCGGCGGCTGCCTCGGTGTGGGTTCGATACCAGCCGCAGAGGTGACCCACATGGCGCGGCAGACCTTTCCTGACACGCCCGCTGCTCCCCTCAGCAGTGTACTTTGTAGATCTGCCTGTTCTGCTCCCCGCTCTGTCTGGTGAATCCTTTCACAGCCCCCGCACCTCTGGCCTGTACCCCAGTTCTATATGCATAAATAAATAAATCTTAACAAACAAAAACCCAAAACCCTGTGTGAGTAGTTTAAAAAAAAAAAAAAACAACAACAACCATACATTGTGTTTTTCTTCCCCTCATTTTCTTTATCACAATAGGGAGACTACCCTAAAGAACCCCAACCACCAACACATGGTAAAAGTCGACCAGCTATCCACAGGGCCCAGCCGTCATGTGACTGTCCAGTTCACTCCAGGCTGGCCTCTGGGAGGCAGGATGGGCGGGCGGTGTGGCTGGCTAGTCATCACCCTCTTTCTGAGGGCCTGGGTGATAACCCACTACAGACTGTTTTCTGTCGTTTTATAAAAATAACTTCTTTGGTGGGTGGGAAGGAAGTGACCATACTTACTCTTTGAGCCTGATGACAGGACAGCATCTTCCTAAAAATAGGGTGCTTCTTATGTTTCTCGAAAATGAAACATTTCCTTATCCCCAAACTAGGTAGGCAGGAGAGCCACCCACAGAGCGTGTGTGCTACTTCGGAAACGGGGGAAGTGCCTTCCACAGGCCTCGTGCTCACAGGACGAGATAGCGGGGAAGGGGCAGAGGGAGGAGGAGCCGAGGAGCCAGCATGCAGAGGGTGCCCGCTAAGTGTAATGTGGTCTGCACGGCTGGAAAGCTTTGCTGTGAGCGAAAGCACCTTAGAGAACAAGAGACGTGAAGCACCCAAGGCCTGTCCATCAGCGTCAGGGACGAACGGCTGGCACCTCTTCGCCTCTCTTCATTGGGACTGGAGATCCTTCCAGGAGGGAGGTCTTGGGGTCTCAAAGTCTCGCTCTGAACAGTGGGGGACCATCACCTCTCCTTTTTCTGGCACCGTGAATCGCCAGGACGAAGTGGTTAAATTAATAATGGGAACGTTAAAGCCTAAAGACATGAAACTGAGGGGACCCGGGATGAGAACAGAGGAACCCTCAAAGGCAGCCGCCACTCTGGCAGAGCCAAAGTCACATCAGAGAATGGTCAAAATGCCAGACTTAGTCAGCATGAAAGAAAAATCCCATCAGTCAAATGCAAATTCACGGGCACACTCCACACAGGCACGCTTGTAAAGGGCCGTGGCTGACCAGCGGGGTCAGGCAAAGGCTGAGTCCTTGAATTAGCACAGATCCTCCTCCCTTGAAGGAAGCCCCGCGTCTCCCTGCCTCACCTGTGTAGAAGCTGGAATGATTATCTTCTTGCTCGAAGATGCTCTTGGTCTGAGAGTCAAATCGCAGCCATAGTCCAATGGCGAGGACTGCAATCCCAGCGAGCTGAAAGACAGACAAAATGAGGGCTTAGTCCAGACCACCACAGGAGCTCAGAGCTGAAGGGTGAGACTTGCAAAGGACTTTGGCACCCTCCTTGGTGTCTGTCTCTCACCATGCACCTGCAAGTTGGGAATAAACCATTACCTATCACAGTGGTGATAGATAATGAACAATAGAATTATGAGCAATAGAATACTATGCAGCAGTGAATATGGATGACCGGTAGCTTTATGCAATCCTGTGAAGGCCTCTCATGATGCTAAACCAAAGATGCAAAAGCTGCAGAACACACTTAAAAATGACTATTCTCCTTATAGTGCATAAGTGATAAAAGAAAAGAAAAAGGTGATTATCGTAAAGTTAAGTGAGTGGTGACCTGGAGGGGGAGGGAGGAGTTCCCTGTAATGGAAAAGCACTTAGAGGGGTAATCTAGGGCGCTGGCAATGTTCTAGCTTTTGACTTGGGTGGTGGTGACAGGGACATTTCATTTCATGATTCTTTAAACTGTGTATCTACCATACAATAAAAATATGTAAAAGTCGCCTAACGTGCCAATGAAGGCATCTGGGATTCCTCATCAAACCATGCGGCTCAGTAAAGGGACACATCAGAATGTCTCCTAAACAGTCACCTCTGGTCCTTTCCCCCTTTCACACAGGGGATACTTATATACAGACCAGCCTGCATCCTCACAAGTGACCCCAACGAGCATCAGACAAGAAACTTCCAAACCACCTTCCGATGGCATGAGTTGATGCCGATCCCATTTTATAGATGGGCAAGCTGTGGACCCTTAAGGCTCCTTTCCTCATAAGGGACAGAACTGAGTGCCCACTCCTGGCCTGGCGCTGATGAACCACGTGCCTCTTGCCAAGCTCCCATCCCCACCGCCTCATCACCCCCCATGCCAGCTGAGCTCCTCGCTGCTGGTACCAGGGCTCACTGGGAGGTGACTCACAGGCTGCAGCACTGGGGCCGGCTGGGCACGCGAGAGGGTGGGCTCTGGGCCAACGCCCAGGCCCCAAGTCGCACAGGCCCACCCTCCTCAACAGAGGCGCCTATGTTAGAGAGCTTGGTGCTCTGTCCCAGGACCACATGTAGACAGGGCCTCTCTTTCTTTCCTTCGTTGCTCTTCACTCCCCATGACTTGGCGTTGGGTTTGGACACACAGGGTGAGGAGGGGGCTGGTGGCAGTGGAGAAGGCGGCCCGCGATCTCAACTTACAGTAGAGTCAACACTTTGTCTACACTCGCTGTGGTGTTTCAGAGTCAGGGTCTGGACCTTCTGGCTTCCAGTTTCCCTACCTATAAGCCAGAAGGGTGAGCTGCGGGCCCCCTCCCTTGGCTTTTAAATATGGCCAAAGGCTAAAAGGAGGTTCTATGACAAGTTGAAACATCTTACAGGTCGGCGGGTTCCTTGGAAGTTACAGATCATACAGAAGGAGCTGCCCAATGGCTCTGTGAGAATGGCGGCGTCAGCTCTCGGTGACCCGCTGCATGACAGCCCTGGTGGAGTGATTCAGCGAATTCCCACACCTCCCAGTCCTCGACTTAGGTAAGGCGACGCCAACCCTCGGTAAGAACCACACAGCGCCAAGGGACCCAGAAAATGGAGGACGGAAAAACTCACGAATGCCAGGTTTGAAGGGGCAGAGATTCTAGAGTTAAGATGGACCCGAGAGTTTGGGGCTCAAATGAAGGGGCCATGTTTTCCTTCTTATTAACAGAGACAGGAGGTGAGTGAGGGTCTCTGGCCTAATCCAAGGAGAGCAGACCTGGCTTGTGGGACAGAAGGAATAGTGCCTCCCCGTCTGCATCCTGGACACTGGTTCAGGCTGGGTGCTCCTGACTCCGATGCTGGCTGTTGGGCTGGGGGCACCAGTCAATGGGGACATCCCTACACTGGGTGCTGGACCCTAAAGGGACGCCCCCAGACCAGCTCCCCGGGGGTCTCATACTTACCCTCTCTGCCAAGTCCATGCAGGCCCAACCAGACCCTTGGAAAATGGCAGACTGAGGCCTCTGGCCTCCCTTTGGAATGGAAAGTGTTAACATGAAAACCCCCAAAGCTGTCAGGTAATTAAGTCTTCATCAGCACTTAGCCACACATCTCCTCCTTCACCTGGGGACTGCTGTTGCTGACAGCACCTGGAACCTGGGACACGCAGTGTCCTTCACTGTCCTTTCTCCTGGTCCCTTGGTTAGGCTGGTGCCTAACCAAGAATTAAACTCAAGTCTTCTTATCCCCCGGGTGGTAAAGTTACCTACCACTCGCCAGGAAAACTCAACAAATCACCATGAGAAAGAATAAAATTGGGGCCTTCCCTGGTGGCAAAACAGTTTAAAGCGCAGCATTGCAAGCTGGCTGTAGCCATTTCAGTGCGAGTTTGATCCCCGCCCAGGAGCTGAACCACATGGCACAGCAGACCTCTCCTGACCCGCCCGCTGCTCCCCTCAGCAGTGTACTTCGTTGATCTTCCCGTTTTGCTCCCCACTGTGTCTGGGGAATCCTCTCACTGCCCCTGCACCTCTGGCCTGTACCCCAGTTCTATATGCATAAATAAATAAATCTTTAAAAAAAGAAAAGAAAAGAACAAAAGCAACTCATGCCAAAGAATAAGCTGCAGAAGGTGGAAAGTGACACTCGGCACAGAAGCGTCTCCCAGGCAGGAGCTGGGTCCTTGGGCAGGAGGCCCCATGCGATCACAGAGGCGCCCAGCGCCAACCTCCAAGGCAAGGCCTCTCCCTTCCACAGTCGTAGACCCTGCGCCCGTTTGTAGAAGTCCTGTCATTTCTCCTACCTGTCACTACAGGTGGCAGAAAGGACACTGAGTTAGAGAAGTACAACCAGAGGGGGCCCTCTTCAGGTCTCACCTGGGTGCAGGTGCAAGGTACAGGAGCGGAGGACCCAGAGGGACCCAGAGGGACGGGCGGGGTCAGGGCAGGCCTGGGAGCACAGTGCTCACAGCGGTGGGAGGGATGAGGCCTGCTGCCTCAGCTGACTGGGCCACTGACTTAATTGGCCTGAGGTGATGCTGCATAAGCCATGAGTTGCCCCATTTTCTGCACTGCTGAGAAGAAACGGTGGCAGTTGGCTGGGGTCAGAGCCATGAAGGTGTGTGACGGTGCCACCTCATTCTGGGCCCAGGGGTGTGCAGGGCACTCTGGGGGGCTCCAGAGTGCCGACTTCTCAGGGGACCCTAGTGTTGGTGTGGCATAGAGGGCTTCCATGGCCAGCGGAATAGAGGAGAAATGAAATGGGGACCGCTACAACCACAGAGATTTTAACCTTGATGCGTGGGCTCCAAGCCAATTATTAAGGGACCCCATAAAACAAGAAAACAGGGCCCGGGAGGCCAGGAAGTGGATGGTTCCATCCGGGCTCATTAACGGCCACGTGGCCAGGATGTTGGCCATGTACCTGCCACGGCTGCTCTTGCCCATCCTCAGAGGGCCCTGAAAGAGGACAGTAGCCTGTCTATGACCACCCCCTGGTCTGGCATGGCATGGAGAGAAGTATGAAGCCTCCGCTTCTGCTCCCAGCCTGGTTTGCTCCTTCTCCAGTTAAAACCAGAGGGAGGAGGGCTGCTCTATTGGGGCCAGAAATGGTCCCGTCCATTGTAGAGGGCAGGGAGAAAAGGGACAGTTTCTCCCCACTGCTTTTTTTAAAATTTCTTCATGCCCACTCATTTTTTCTTAGAGGAGATGGGAGATGGCCTCACTCAAGGTTATTCTACAAAATACCCGCTCAGTACCGCTCAAAGCGTCAAGGTCATAGAACAAGGAAAGATAGACATGGCCACGGACCAGAGTGGTGAAGCAGACGCTACCTGTCTTGTGGAGTGGACAGGGTGCAGGGCAGTGCTGGGGCCAGGCGCAAAGCCCAGGTCGCCCAGTTTTATTCACAGCAACGTGCCTACGCTGGTATCTTGGGGATAGATGGAAGATGTAACATAAGATGTCAACAACGGCAGAAACAGAGAGGAGTAGAGATAGATCTCTATTCAGTGATGATCTTTGTAATTTTTCTACAAACCTAAAACCACTCTAAAATGGAATGTGTTTACAGAGAAAAAAAGAAAATTCGCCGTCTCTTTCAAAGCTCCCTGTCCCCATCAAGAACCTGCTCCATGAACCAACCTCTTTCGTGCCTCTGCACTGTGGCCTCTGTCTCATCTCTGGCCCACACACCAGGCGTTTCTCCTCCCCTAAACCCAACAGGAAGGAGCCCTCTCTTCCTTCAACCTCACCACCCCTTTGGGTGTTCTGTGTTTTACCTCCTGCCCCGGGAGCTTACTCGCTCTCAAGTCCTTTGGGTAAGCCCCCACCAGCTCCCTCAGCCCCGCAGACTCTCCTAGGCGGGCTCCTAGCCTCACCGGCCACTGCGGATGGCCCAGGTGGGTGGCTGAGAGCTATGCTGCAGTGCTGCTGTGTTGCTCTTAGCAGCACAGCCCGCTGGCCCTGGCCTCCTCCTCAGCCCCTGAGATGGAGTTGCTTAAAGTTTCCCAAGTAAGTCTGTGCACTCCCCCTCTGCCCATGCAAGGGGACGCCACCCTAGCTACCTGGACCATAGCTTCTGCACCAGGAACCAGGAGTCCCTTTGTCTCCTTAGGGAAATGCCACCCGGGAGCCCCGCGTCTGTCGTCTTTTCTCCTGAACCCAGGCCTTCTGCCCTGCCTGATGCATCTGTGGGGGCACTTCTGGATGTGCACACAGGTTAAGTCAGTCACCTGGGGCTTATGCCGGCTTCAGGGAACTAGTAACCCCAGCAGGGTCCTGAGCCCAGGTGCCCAGGGAATAATCTCCTAGTCACCCCCCTTCAAAAGCACACTCACTAAAGACACCCCCACACCGATCAGGCTTTGAGTGAGTCACAGCATAAATCTTGCTGCAGGGGCAGACTGAGAATCTCACCTGAAAGCACATACCTGGAGTTAAAGGAAACAGCTCCATTTGCAAAGGATTGAAAACAAATCAAAGTGAAATGCTGCTTGGGGGCACCTG